TGGAATTCAACTGCATAAAAGTTCAAATATTCCATCACAATTAAACGAAATTACATTAAAATCTTCAAATGTCTACAAATCCTACATATACATAACTTCATCGACAAAAAACCTAGCCCACACATTTATGATTTCATCAAACTCTTCCTTCGAATATGGTTCAGTTCTTGAAATCCAAACCTGAAAGCATTCATAAGAACATAAATAAAATGGATAATATTAAACTAAATTATATATAAGTTAAGTTATTTTATGAAATCCACTTGTTGAAGTATATAAATAAAATACATTTCCAATATCTGAACTTCCAACATAAGATATTACTTCCCACATAAACTTCATGGCATAATACCCACATTCTGTATTGCCCGTTTGCCTTGCACACTATTAATTGATGAAAAATATGCAATATTATTACATGATAATATAATGTTTTTTAAATAGTTCTGTTAATTAAGGCATAAACAATATAAATAAGAGTAGATATATGATATGATCAAATGTGCCTTGATGTCATGCCACTTAATAGATTTGTCTCGACCCTTTTGTGTGGAAGCAACTATATACATCCTACAATGCCAACTCAATATAAACATATACATGCTCAATATCGACATAAAAGCATAAATGTTAAAGATCACAACTAAAACATACAAAAACATACATAGTCAAATCGTTTTGAATAGCAATATGGGATGAACTTGGCAATGAATTGAACATATAGCCTTTATCAACCTTTGGACAAATTACAAACACAATTCAATGATACTTATATTTCATAAGACACTAGAAGGGGGTTAATACTTCCTATGTCACGATTAATAAATATGTAAAAAGAATACTATATATAAATCATACCCTTCATTATAAGCCAACAGAATGAAATTTTTCTCAAAGAACTCAATCAGAGCATGCTTCAAGTAAGCCAATGTGCCTTTCCTATCGATTTGATAATATACAAAAGAACAAATATGTGGACACAAAAGACCCATATCATCACGACCAAGCTCAATCAATTTAGCATTTAAGCAACTGTTGCACTGCATGTAGAATAATAATGTGAAAAGTGTCAAATAGGTCAACGTACTTTTAACAAAAACGCCATGCAGTGCACTCAATTGACTTTTTGTTAAAAGTACGTGAACCTATATGACAGTTTTCCCAATAATAATTAATCACTAATCATGTCTAACAAATGTTCAAGAGTATTTCTAAACGTATTACTATAATTACAGCATAAAGGTCTTAACAATGGACATATCAACAGAATCACCCTCAAGAAATTGACTCAAGTCTTCACGATCAACAGTGGACCCAAATTGCATATTCTTTACATAACAAACACCTCCACAGGAGAGGAATAGAAAACTTACAAAGATCGGGCTCATACCACTCAAGATTCTCATGCAATCTTAAAAGATCACCGGTAAGTGAATCAAGAACAACCTCACTAACCAATGCATGTGAGCTGGATTCAACCATTACTTTTGGTGAATCTCTCGGGATAAAAGGCGGTTTCTTTTTAGCCACATCCTTCTTTTTTAACTTAGATGGTGGTTCCTAAAACAATTATAATAAAAAATATAATACATCTTTATAGCGAGATAATACAACAAATTTAATAGTACACATCAACCATTATATTACTTGATTACCTCCTTTCTCTCAAAGAAACCTAATTGTGTTGGCCACTGGACAAAAGAACCTACAACGTCTGCTATAACATTCATATCAGCGGCTTCATTAGGATATAGCAGGGGACATTCTTCAAAATCTAGATATGCCATATATATGTTCACTTTTATGACACAGTAACTTTCTTGACTTATAAGTTGTATCAGGAAGTGGATTCCCTTCAGGTAACGTCTCTTGAATTAATGTCAATAACTCTGTAAAACTGACATTACTTCATCCATGTTTCGCTTTCAAATGAAATAATTTCAACACCGCAGACAACTTAGTAAAACTTGAGGTAGAATAGAAAGGTATTCTAGCAGCATCAACCATACCTTCATATGATTTTGGTTGTTGTTCAAAATTATCATGCACATCCTTCAAAAAATCATCCATTTGATCATCAATGAAATCATCATTTTCATTAAAATCATTGTTCCAATTTGAGTTGGTGGTAGTATCGGGGGCTTTGCGCTTTAAATTATTAACAGCGGCTCGCGAAACAACATTCTCACCATCCTCGCAAATCTATCCATGTAATGTCCAAATGGTATAATTCTCTCTAAATCCTCTCTCAAATAGATGTTGAAGTATAACATTGACGTCCCTCTCTCTTCCTAATTTTCGGCACCTTGAACTAGGACATAAAATTCCTTCATGTCCTTGTTTTTGGAATGTAACGGCAGCTTTGATGAGCCCATTCGCACCAATGAAAAATTCAGTCGTGTCTTGATGCCCATACATCCAAGAACGATCCATCTTGAACGGAATTCTACATTTGTCTAATAATAATATATATCATATAAGGTATCATAAATTATTCTATACTTTTCAAATAATAATAACAATACTTATAATTTATAAATTATATGCAATTTAACAAATTCAACAACAAAGTTCAATTAAACTAAACTTATTATATTGACAGAGTTCAATTAAACTAAACTATATCACATATAGTTTAGTTGTTGATTAGTAAAATTGAACAACAAAGTTTAGTTGTTGATTAGTAAAACTATAAGGGTTGTGATGATTAAACTAAGTTCAAAAACAAAATTCACATGTATCACATACTCCCTCCGTCCCGAATTGAAGTGCAAACTTTGACCGGCACGGTGATTAAGGAGGTATAAAAATAAAAGTTGCCTTTACCATATTACCCTTCTATATCAAAAGAAGGAAAAACTCAAATGTTGCGTAAAAACCAAAACATCCTGGAAAAAGTACTGCAGGTGTATTTAGTTTTCCAAAGCTCAAACCCAATCACCCCACTCATTGGGTTACGGAGTATTTTCAAGTTTCAATCGAACAATTAACAATGGGCTGCCATTTCCGCTTCAGATGACTAGAGCCTTGTTCTTCCCTCTCGCCACCACCCAGAAGGCCGGTCTTCTCCCTCACTCTGCTACAGCTTAATGCGGAATCCGGCGAGAATACCCAAGGCTCTCTTGGAGAAGCGGCTGCAGCATGATGCAACCAGAATCGACCCTCGCCGCGAAAAATGCCACCACTGGCGGCCAATCCAGCAGTCATGGAGCCGACTTGAGTATCTCCGTCATCTCCGGGCTTGCTAAGGGGAGCGGCGAGAACTTCACTCGCCTCGACGTAGGCCCGCCTTCTACTCTCCTAGGGCCGATTCCCAAGGCGTTCTCATCTTCTTTAAAATCTGAAAGATAAATGACATACTACGTACGTACTAGGAAGCTCAATCTGAATCTGGAATTTTTAGGGGAGAAAATAAAAGCTTGAATATGATGGTATTGGGCTATGGGATAAAATGATAAAGTGACCAGAGCTTGAGGAAGACATACATGGGTGGGTCGGTGAGTGGGAAATAAAGTGTAAGGGCATATGTGTCATTTTATTCATTTCCCCTTCCTTAAAATAGAAAGGGGAAAAATATTTTGGGACAATTAAAAAAAGGAAATTTTGCAAAATAAATTGGGAAAAGTGTAAATTAGGCCCCCTACTAATACGAAAAAGTCAATTATGTTGGAGTTAATCTTGTTGTTTATAATTTCATCATGTTTAATTTAATTTATTTTGAGTCATTGATGCATTTTAGACTAGAGTGTTAGTGCACGTCGGGATTAGTCATGCCAAGTAGTGTGCGTCGCGTGACACCGTGCATATGTTGTAGCGGCACTGAAATGCGTGTGTGTAACACCCCGGCCCCACCGGACCCGAGGTAGTTACTCCGGACCAATAGTACTGTCCTCACAAACCACCACGAGCCTTTACCGCGCACTTTGTCCTCACTCATGCGCGCCCTGAGCAACTTCCCAGGGGGTCACCCATCCCAAGACTACTCCCGTGCAAGCACGCTTAACTTGGGAGTTCTTGGGTGATGAGCTCCCTTAAAAGGAGATGCACCTCTGTTTGTATGAGTAGTACTATTAATCCGTTTATATTAAATCTCAAGTGTTACAATCACCCCCACTTAGGATCGCAACGTCCTCGTTGCGCCCTTGAACCAATCTCAAATCTCAATCAAATCCCAGAATCTTCCCCCGCTAAGTGTCCGCCCGATATCCAACGGGTCATCACACTGTCGCGGGGTTGCTCTGATACCACCTGTAACACCCCGGCCCCAGCGGACCCGAGGTAGTTACTCCGGACCAATAGTACTGTCCTCACAAACCACCACGAGCCTTTACCGCGCACTTTGTGCTCACTCATGCGCGCCCTGAGCAACTTCCCAGGGGGTCACCCATCCCAAGACTACTCCCGTGCAAGCACGCTTAACTTGGGAGTTCTTGGGTGATGAGCTCCCTTAAAAGGAGATGCACCTCTGTTTGTATAAGTAGTACTATTAATCCGTTTATATTAAATCTCAAGTGTTACAATCTTAACTTCGGAGTTCTGATGGGATCCGGTGCATTAGTGCTGGTATGATCGCATCCCATCAGAACTACGAAGTTAAGATTGTAACACTTGAGATTTAATATAAACGGATTAATAGTACTACTCATACAAACAGAGGTGCATCTCCTTTTAAGGGAGTTCATCACCCAAGAACTCCCAAGTTAAGCGTGCTTGCACGGGAGTAGTCTTGGGATGGGTGACCCCCTGGGAAGTTGCTCAGGGCGCGCATGAGTGAGGACAAAGTGCGCGGTAAAGGCTCGTGGTGGTTTGTGAGGACAGTACTATTGGTCCGGAGTAACTACCTCGGGTCCTGCGGGGCCGGGGTGTTACACACCTCCTCGAAGGTCTCACTGAGGGTGCGAATCTTGTTGGCGAGTCCGTTCATGCGCATAGCGAGGTCGTCGATCGTCTCACCGCTCCGCATGCGAACGGAATCAAATTCCTTGAGTAGAGTTTGTGCCTTGGCCTCACGGACACGCTCATCGCCCACACGCATGGTCTTGATGGCGTCCCATGCCTCCTTTGCCGTCGCCTTCACGGCAAGCGTGGAGAGCATCTCCGGTGGCACGGCTCGCAAAATTGCCGCTAGCGCCACCCTATCCTCGCTAAAGCTCCCGCCACCCTCGACAGCGTCCCACACGCCTTGGGCCTCCATGTTCACCTTCATGATGAGCGCCCACTCGAAATAGTTCGTCGCCGTCAACGTCGGGTAGACAACGGTGCTGCTGGCCTGGTGGACGACACGCTGCTGTACCACCACCTCGCGGCCGCCTCGCCGCGTCGGGCTCTGCCCACGTCGTATTGGCGAGCGTGACGGAGTGCGCGAACCTTCACCTATCATGGCTCTGATACCAAATGTTGGGATTGCTTAGCAAGAATAATACATCCGTAGCTTTCAAATGTAGTAATTTGCTTAGAAGGAAAAAAGAAAAAAAATGTAGCTTCGTTTGGTGCTCAAAAGCATTTCATCTATTTATATATAAGAAAAGAATAGGCTCATTAAAATACATTTTTACCCTTAATGAATCTTAGGTGTCTAACTCTCCTTAATTCTCTCCTTTGCTATAGCATTGCCATGTGGCCTTTTACTTCAAATTACCCAACTTCTCCAATGGAATAGAAAGGGAGCACCCGTAAGAGATTCAATTGGTGGGGCCCAAGCTATAAAAACCCAATTTTCTTTAAAGTGTTATAATTTTTTCATTTTAAATCCGATTTTTACAAAAAATATATCAAAATTCATAAATTTTTGTGATCTTTCATATGAGATCAATATTGAATATATAAAAATATAATTTATTAACGGTCTCTATGATTATGCTTAAAATTATTTATAGACATTTTTAGATCTATTTTGCTCTCTGAATTGGGGAAGTTATTGTAAGTGATCATTTTTTACTTTTTCTCTAATTTCTTCCTGTTATAATGTCACTCGAGAATATAAAAAATTAGCAAATTGAAATGATAAACACATCGAGTGCTAATAAAACATAACTTCTAAATTTATTTCAACTTATTATTCTTTATGTTTAAGGAAAAAGGGGCAAATATGAAAATATATATTCATCAATTTTAGTTTTTTAAGTGCTTTGATCTATTTAAGTTTAGTTTTATTAAAAAAAATTGATTTATTTGGCTGAAATTACTGTACATAATAATTTTTAACCACTTTTTCTGTAATCTTTTATTTACTTCATTAATAATATATAATTTGAACTAAATTCATCCATAAATAGAAAGAATCAATTTCAATCAATTGTCACTTCTATCAAAATTTCATCAAATTCAAAAGAATCAGGTGAAGTAGCCAATTTCGGTGTTACTTAACTGATTCCAAATATCAAAATTAGAACATGAAAATAACAATAGATCAGTGGCTAATAAAAAGGGAGTCTTTGAAAAAAACCTATTAAAACTAAACTAATGAGAATCTTAAAGAATCAGATTTCATTAACAATCAACATGTTGAAATAATGTCTTTATAATTGTAATATATAAGTGTGGTTCAAAAATACAAGTATACTTGAATTTGGTTATTATGTGGACTTCCAATTGTGTACATGCAAACAAGATAGACTTACAAAAGAGTTTCAGATGATTCCCAATGTAGCAATTGGCTAAGATTCATTTACCTTTTCTTTACTCAACCACAACCTCAAGTTTTCAATTTAATCCCACATTCTTAAACTCCGATCCAAGTCAAATCGAGAAGAATTTTATGGGACTGAGGGTGTATCATCAGCATCATCATCACCACCATCATCGTCATCCATATCATCACCATCATCATCATTATTGTTGTTGTTGTTGTTGTTGTTGTTGTTTTTGTTGTTGTTGTTGTTGTTGTCGTTATTGTCATTATTGTTATGGTTGTTGTTGGTGTTATTAATATTATTATTATTATCGATGAATCAAATCATCTTTAAAAGTAAAAAGAATGAGATAGACTTACGAAAGAGTTTCAGATGATTTCTGAATAATATCTGTATAATATGTAACTGACTCAAAAATATAAACATACTTGAATTTGGTTACTATTGTGGACTTCCAATACGATACATACAAACGAGATAGACTCATGAGCACCCTCTATTGACCAAATATTATTCCTGAAAAGATCTCTATAATGAACATAGTGATAGAAAGAGTATCATATAGTGCCTTGACTTCAAATGATTTTTTAAAATCATGTTCATACTATCACAGTTTTGGGTGAGAGAGAATCAAAGTTGATTTATCAATAAATGACGAAATGATATGGTTCTTACAGAAAAATTATTTGTTCACGAGACAATGGACCATGAATGAAGCACTAGAGTAGATTATCAACTCAAATAAGAAGCTAAATGAAAATAAACTTGTGGATCAAAAGTTCACACTATTCATGATTGCATGATAGGAGTTCTTGCAATCGAAAAGATATACTCTGTATGAAAAAAAACTCAAAGAACTAATAATGTAATGGTGGAAAGTTCATCAAAATGGAATTATGTAACCAAGTATTGAAAATGTGGAAGACGATGAAACAAAATTGTTATTAGGTAAATCATTACACATTTGTGGAGGATGTGGGATAGTTTTCTCTCTTATATATAATGTTTTTAGGTATAAGAAAAGTTGAATGAGAATTGAGCGGAATAAGTTTCTCTCTCATTTGTAATGTTTTTAAGTATAAGATAAGTCGACCAACAATTGAGCGGCAAAAATTTCTCTCATATGTAATGCTTTTAAGTATAAGAAGATAAACCAGCTAACAATTGAGCGGACTAGCTTTCTTTCTCATAATGAGTTCTTTTAAGTATAAGATAAGTTGGCTAACACTTGAGCGGGATAACTTTGTCTCTCATTTGTAGTGCTTTTCAGTAAGATAGTAAGATAAGTCAACTAACAATCGAGTGAGAAAATTTGTTCTTTCATATGTGATGCTTTTAAATATAAGAAAGATTAAGCCATAAGCCGTTTTAATAATTGAACAAGATATTTCCCTCTCTCTCAATAAGCAATGAATTTAACTATAACATAATCCAACTAACAATTGAGAGAGAGGATTTTTTGTATCATATATAGTGCTTTTGGGTATAAGACAAGCTGGCTAACAATTGAGCGGGAGAATTTTCTACCTCATATGTACTACTTTTAGTTATTAGAAGATAAACTTGCTAACAATTGAGCGAAAGAACTTTATCTCTCATATATATTTCTTTTAGGTATAAAATAATCCAGCTAACAGTTGAACGTAATAATTTCTCTCTCTCATATGTAGTGTTTTTAGGTATGAGGTAAGCCAGCTAACAATTGAGCTCGATGACTTTCTCTCCCAGATGTAAGAGTTTTAGATATATAAAAAAAGATAAGCTTACTAATAATTGAGCGAGATCAGAAGATTTTTTCTTTCATATGTAATATTTTTAGGTATTAGAAGATAAGATTGCTAACAATTGAGAAGGAGAATTGAGCGGGAGAATTTTATTGCTCATATGTAGTGTGTTTTTAGGTATTACATAGTAGAAGATAAGCTTACTAAGCATTGAGCGGAATAACTTTCTCCCTCTTATGCAGTTCTACGTATAAGATAAGAAGATTAAACAATTGAGCGGGATAACTTTCTCTCTCATATGTAGTATTTTTAGGCATAAGAAGCTAAGAAGATAAACTTGCTAGCAATTGAGTGAGAGAACTTTCACTCTTACGGGTAGTTCTTAAGTACTCCGTATATAAGATAATCCAGCTAACTGTTGAGCGTGAAAATTTACCCTTCCATATGTAGTGCTTTTAGGTATAACATAAGTCGACTAATAATTGAACGAGAAAACTTCCTCTCTCATATGTAGTCTATTTAGATATGACAAGATAAGCTTGCTTGCTAATAATTAAGCGAAAATTTTCTCTTTTTCATATATAGTGCTTTTAGTTATTGGAAGATAAAGTTGCTAACAATTGAGAGGTGATATCATCATATATGTAGTTCTTTGTAGTATTAGATAAGTCAGCTAACAATTAAAGAACATATTTGTTTCTCTCACACATAGTGCTTTTAGGTATAAGGTAAGATAATCCGGCTAACAGTTGAGTTAAAGATTTTTTTCTCATATGTAGTTGTTTTAGATATAACAAGATAAGCCAACTAAGAATTGAGCAGAGTAATTTTCTCTCACATATGTTAGCACGAATTTACTAATGAATGGAAAGTTATTATTTAACTAATATTCGTTGATTTTCATATTTATTGTAGTGCTTTTAAGTATAAGATGATAACCTAGCTAACAATTGAGCGGGATAGCTTTCTTTGTCATAATGAGTTCTTTTAAGTATAAGATAAGTTGGCTAACACTTGAGCGGGATAACTTTATTTCTCATTTGTAGTGCTTTTCAGTAAGATAGTTAGATAAGTCAACTAACAATCGAGTGAGAAAATTTGTTCTTTCATATGTGATGCTTTTAAATATAAGAAAGATTAAGCCATAAGCCGTCTTAACAATTGAACAAGATATTTCCCTCTCTCAATAAGCAGTGAATTTAACTATAACATAATCTAACTAACAATTGAGAGAGAGGATTTTTTGTATCATATATAGTGCTTTTGGGTATAAGGCAAGCTGACTAACAATTGAGCGGGAGAATTTTCTATCTCATATGTACTACTTTTAGTTATTAGAAGATAAACTTGCTAACAATTGAGCGAAAGAACTTTATCTCTCATATATATTTCTTTTAGGTATAAAATAATCCAGCTAACAGTTGAACGGAATAATTTCTCTCTATCATATGTAGTGTTTTTAGGTATGAGGTAAGCCAGCTAACAATTGAGCTCGAGGACTTTCTCTCCCATATGTAAGAGTTTTAGATATATAAAAAAAGATAAGCTTACTAATAATTGAGCGAGATCAGAAGATTTTTTCTTTCATATGTAATGTTGTTAGATATTAGAAGATAAGATTGCTAACAATTTAGAAGGAGAATTGAGCGGGAGAATTTTATTGCTCATATGTAGTGTTTTTAGGTATTACATAGTAGAAGATAAGCTTACTAAGCATTGAGCGGAATAACTTTCTCCCTCATATGCAGTTCTACGTATAAGATAAGAAGATTAAACAATTGAGCGGGATAACTTTCTCTCTCATATGTAGTATTTTTAGACATAAGAAGCTAAGAAGATAAACTTGCTAGCAATTGAGTGAGAGAACTTTCACTCTTACGGGTAGTTCTTAATAAGTACTCTGTATATAAGATAATCCAGCTAACTGTTGAGCGTGAAAATTTACCCTTCCATATGTAGTGCT